ACTAGTGTAGACAAGGCTCCTGCTTCTAGACCAGTGGTTCCCAAACTTTAACAACCTGTGAACTCCTTTCACTAAAATGTCAAGTCTTGCGAACCCCCACTCCTAAAAATGAATATTTCCAGGGATTTTCTCCTTTACTTGAGTATAAATTATAAAAGCAGTGATCTTGGAAATATAAAATTTGTTTTTATAACATGCTTATTACACATTATTTATTATTAATTATTATTTATCATTATAGTACTTTTATTACATTATGAAAACAGCAACACTCTTCCAAGATCTCACTTTCGTAGCCTGTATCACTTTGAATAAGCCTGTTATAAGACAAGGCTCCTATGTTTCATCAAGGAGTATCAGATGTGAAACAGCATGAAGGTATTTAAGAAGCCAACTCAAATCGTTCCTCCTACATAAGTATTCAGGTCTTGAGCAGTGCAGGTAAACAACGCACATTACAACAAAGCTTAAACTTGTTCTTCCTAATAATTTTAAAAACAATATTAGCTGCCTATTTAATTTTAAAAACAGCAAATAATATCCACCTCCCTTTCCATTTCTTATAAGGAGTCATGAAGTTTAAATCTCCTCAGTGTGATAGATATGCTTGCTTTGATCTGCTTAGCTCTTGGAAGTCTAGGGGCTCCGGGCTGCTAGCCCCGTGCTGCCCGGGGTTCCTAGGGACAGCTCTGTCCGCCATTAGGAAATTTTTTCCCGAGAACCCCCTGTAACATTTCGCGAACCCGTTTGGGAACCACTGTTCTAGACCTATTTTTATTTCCAGAAGCTGCAGGAGGGAAAGACAGCATTGATTCTCCCACCAATTTACTACATTTGAAAACAGGTCACCAGCCTTCCATGAGGCCCAAACACGGAAGGCGTTGAAGTACACCCCGCTGGCCAACACCCTGAGAGCCCAGGGCTATGAGGTCCAGATACACGCCCGGATTGTGGGAGCCCTGGGCTCACGGGACCCCCACAACGAACCGGTACCGAGAGTGTGCGGAGTCGGTCGACGCTACGCCCGGCTCATGAGACAGCTCATGGTGTCCGACACCATCAGGTGGTCCAGAGACATCTATACGGAACACATCACGGGACACCGTCAATACCAGGTTGAGTAATCAAGACCGCCGATCAGGGAAATAACCCACTTCCTTCCCTGACGAACCAAGGGACGCACTCCACCCATGTACTTATTCGCTACACTGATACTGACTTGGACTCTTAATACATTCCATGGGTGGCGTACCCGAGCCCACTTATCCGCTGACGCTTTAAAAACTCCTGCACCCCAATGTGGGTCTATGCTGGTTATGTGATATGTATGTATCTCGTGATCCTTGTAAGCGATACCTGTAATCCCTCATAACTCAAGCCTGACCCCAGATGTATAGTACCTTCCCTCTTAACTTGTGTATATTTAAACATTAACTTTAATAAAAATTTTAAATCTGTGCTTATACCCTTCGGAGTGGCTTTCTCTCATGGCTTCTAGCTAGTATGTGTCTATTTCAAGCCTGGCATATGAGACTAAAAATCACAACCAACACCCCATTAAATTAACCAACAACACTTGCTATGGCTATGGGTGTATATTTCAGTCAAGAGCACTTAATCATCATGCAGGTTTGGAAATAGTTGTAATGAAAATGTATACACCTATAAGTCAGAAGTCCTTTTTAATCTGAAGAAAGGGGAAAATGATCTTGAGCAGTACAGGAAACAAAACATATCTCTGGAATATCTGAAATTTACTGTAATGAACAAGTAAATGCAGAGGAACTGACTGGCAGGTTTAGCTGTAAAAGCTTCACACTTGCAATGTTATGGTGAAGAGGCCTCCTACCGGCCACAACCCAATAAACTCCTCAGATGATTTAGTTGTACAATCAACTGTAGGAACAGCCTTGAGGCAACTGCAGCTAAAGGTGTGGTTAGCAGAGATATACATCCTCAGGGTGCATTGGAATCGTACATCTGTCATTTTGTGAGACGTCTTGAACTCCTGAACCTTATGGTAGCCTGCCCTATGTTATTCAATAACTAAAAATGCCCAGTGGAAAATTAAGTCTATCTTTGTAAAAAGAAATAGCTCATCTTCAGGCTGCCTGACTTTTTCATAAATCTAGCCACAACTGTGGCTCCCCACACACCAGTCTTGTCTGGCTTTTCTCCCCCTTCCTTGGGACAGCCTGACACAGCATGCAGAAGGGAAATGGATGAAGCAGAAATGATGAAATAAAATGAGGGAAAGCAGCAGAATGAAGCAATCCTTAATGCTGTAATATTCAGGGTTGCCTGGAGAACTTGACATTGTTTAGCAGCTAAAGGTCTTCTGCAGATTAAAATAAGGAAGGCTTAATGGCTATAGACAATTTCTGTTTATAATCCTTGTTCCTAACATGTTTATTTTCACATAGTGCAAGTAGCTGGTTTAGGCTTTTTCCAGCCACACTGACGTAGGAAATGATGTAAAATATGGCAAGTGATTAAGCAGGGATCTGGGAAGAGTTGTTTTATTTGAACTGCCACAAATCTAAGGCACCTATAACTTTGGTATCCCAAGTGTCCTGCAGTTAGGTAGGGGAAGGTTCCCATTCCAGTATTGTAAAAGGATTTGTCCTTTTTTTTATTACTTGCCACAATGCACAGATACTAAAGCTATATCCACTAGTGTGACTGCTGCATCCTTCCTCCCTATCCACAGGGGATTCCGGCTGCAGGCACTATTAAGAGAACACAGGGCTCATCCGGCCTTCTGTGGGAAGAATTTCTAACATCCAACCCTTCAGGTGTAGTAGAGGATCCAGAAAGTCCTTGAGCTTTAAAACAGACTGACAGCTGAAATCTAACTAATTGTTTGCAGAGCCTGGCTGAGATCTGCTCAGAATGCTCAGGGTTTTGCTGTTTGGTAGACTTTCTCCTATATTATCACAGCTAAAGAACCATCTCCCCAACACTGGGAAGAGCACCATTGGTCTCAATAGTTTTAAATCAAGAAGTGACACAGGGTCTCCAGCACCAGACCTCCAATATATGTGCTGAAATGATGATTAAATAGCCCTCACAAATGACTATCCTTCACTGGAAGAGGAGAAGCTCAGAACTGGGACCAGTGTAATGATCTTGAGCAGAATGATGAGAATGCCCACATGTGAGAAGAGGGCAACAATGTCAGGGACAGAGTCATCACCAGAACTGGATGTACATGAAGACTCTGTGCCCCTCATCCCGTCAGACTGTGCCCCACCACCACTCCCATAAGATGGCTCTGACAAGATACATCTGCTCTCCAACCCCATGAAAAAAAAACCTTGCACCACAAATAAGCCTCCAGCATCTCAGTCAGTATTGTGCTGACCCTCTGGAGATAACAGCAGGGGTGAAGGGATGTTTAACCTGTTATTTCTAGGCAGTAAAACAATATGTAAAACCCCAAGGAACATAGAGGACTTCACAAAGCTATAGGGAGAAGCCAAAGAGCTGCAGCACACGAATTAGCACTCCCCTAGGACTGTTCTTATCTCTAACCTAAGGGGGCCCCCATGTCTTCTACCTTGGGGTGGCACCATAGCAGGGATGCAATGAGAGTTCCTTTAAAGCGGGCAAAATGCTGCCACTGAGACTAATGACAGCCTAGCACCCTCACAACCACCATCAGGAGATGAAGGAATGCAGTCTGACTACGGACAGGATGGGGGTTGTAGCCTGATCAAGGAAATATAACAAGGTAGGGGTGGGAGGCGGAATGGAGGGAGGAGAAGCACAGCCTAACCAGGGGGCTGGAGTGGAGGGATGGGGGGACACAGTCTGACCGGGAGCAGATGGGGGTTGGAGGGGTACAGTCTGACCGGGGGAGGAGGGCACAGTCTGACGGGGCATATGAGAAGTGAGGGGCACAGTCTGGCAAGGGAACATGGATGTGGAGGTGGCAGAGTCTGTCTGGGACCATAAGTATGGGGAGTGCAGGGCAGTCTGACAAGGGTTATGGGAGTGGTGGTGGGGAACAGTCTGATGGGGGCACAGTCTGACGGGATGAGGGGCACAATCTAATGGGGGGCACAGTCTGACTAGCAGGTATGGGGGTGAGGGGCACAGTCAGAGGGGCACAGTCTGACTGGGGGCATGGGAGTGGGGGGCACAGTCTGACAGGGGGCACACTCTGACATGCAGTTGTAGAAGCTGGGGCACAGTCTGACTGGGGATGAGGGGCACAGCCTGACTGGTAGATATGGGGGGGCACAGTCTGACCCAGTGGGATAGGGGCCACGGGCCATAGTCTGACAGGGGCATAGTCTGTCATGCGGTTGTAGAAGTTGGGGCACAGTCTGACTGGGGATGAGGGGCAATCTGATGAGGGGCACAGCCTGGCTGGTAGATATGAGGGAGGCACAGTCTGACGGGGGGGCACAGTCTGACATGCGGTTGTAGAAGTTGGGGCACAGTCTGACTGGGGATGAGGGGCACAGTCTGACTGGTAGATATGGGGGAGGCACAGTATGACCCAGGGGGATGGGGGCCACGGGGCACAGTCTGACATGCGGTTGTAGAAGTTGGGGCACAGTCTGACTGGGGATGAGGGGCACAGCCTGCCTGGTAGATATGAGGGAGGCACAGTCTGACGAGGGGCACAGTCTGACATGCGGTTGTAGAAGTTGGGGCACAGTCTGACTGGGGATGAGGGGCACAGCCTGCCTGGTAGATATGAGGGAGGCACAGTCTGACATGCGGTTGTAGAAGTTGGGACACAGTCTGAATGGGGATGAGGGGCAATCTCATGAGGGGCACAGCCTGCCTGGTAGATATGGGGGGGGCACAGTCTGACCCGGGGGATGGGGACCACGGGGCACAGTCTGACGGGGGGGCCCAGCCTGGCTCGCGGAGCCGGGGCAGTGCCGAGGGCGGGCTCCGGGCGCTGGGCTCTCGGACCAGAGCCGGCCCAGCGCGGCGGCAGCCCGAGGCCCGACCCGCGGGCCCCCCGCCCGCGCCGCACGCACCTTCTGGCGGATCTGGCCGGACGTGGAGACCTTGCGGATGAGCTTGTGCGGGGAGCCCGGCTCCTGCTCCGGCTCGCTGTCCGACGACTCTTCCGCCGCGGCGGCGGCAGCAGCGACCCCGGCCTGGGGCCGCGAGGCGCCCGCCGCCGCCATGCTGCAGGCTGAGGAGCGGGGCCGCCCAGCGCCCCCTAGCGGCCGGCGCGAGCGTCTCTGTGACGCGCCCCCTGGCGTGCAGAGGCGGAGCCGCAAGGTCCGGCCAGGAGACCCCCCCCCAACATCCCGGGCTGCCAGAAGGGCGCAGGCCCAGCGCGTGTGCTCACCTCGGGTAAGGTTGTGTGGTGGCCCTGGTCTGTCTCCTGAGGGCTCACCGCCTCCGCCCCGCAGTGTGTGCGTGGGGGGCATCAGCACTGACCCCCTGCCCCACACATTGGCTGAGGGGAGTCTGGCTGCCCCCAGGAGCTCTCACCTCCAGCCCCTCCGTTCAGCCCCCAGCTCTCTCCATTCAGCCCCCCCTTGCCCATCTCAGTTCAGGCCCCCCATTCGCCATCAGCTCCCTCTGTTCAGCCCTCTCCCCACTGCTCTGACCTTCATCTCTACTGCTGAGACAGGCCCACCAATACCCGCCTCGCAGACCATCGTCAATGACTTCCCCCACACGAGCCCAGACAGGACTGACGCACAGTGGCATTCAAATTCCAGTTCTCTAGTCAAAACCGGCGCCATACTGGCCTGAGCCACTTTCACTATGACTGTGGACAATACTCTCCCACATTCCCCCAGTGCTAAAGGTTATTCCCAACCTCCATCACACAGAAGACCATCCCCCGGGGCCTCCTTGATGGACTGTAGAGAGATGAGAGCTACTCCACAACTATGAGCATAGAGACCCAGAAATTGGAAATGCCCTCCTGGCATCACTGTGCACTGGTATGGGCAAGAAGGTGCCAGACCCAGCTTGTGGATGGGCAGCTGAATTAGGCCATGCAAATCATCATGGGAACTTTAAAATCAACACCTCTACCGTGGCTTTCTAAATTAGCAAACATCAAACCTCAAGTTATCCATTGAGATGTAGCCATAGCACGAGAACTTACATGGTTCGAAGACTACCCAGCACTTCCCATCTGGCAGGCTACAGCTAACATACCCCAACAATGCCTGAAATTGCAAAAACGACCATGGACGATACGTGACCACCTCATGTCTCTAGATCTGACCAGGGAATGGCAAAGTGTCTGGAGCTCACCTACCATTCCAAATAAGCACATTATTATTGAGCTAACAAGGCGCTGGCTCAGTTTTGATGTGCCACACTGACTTTGGACCACACTGAAGCACATCCAAGAAAGTATGAAAGATGCTGCTACTTTATGCACAAGTGGAACATCAAAGACTCCCCTTCATGCATCTGTGGTGTGAACATCCAAACCATCAAACACATTATAACACAGTGCCCCAAATATGGATTCAAAGGTGAACTAGACGATATCCACAGTGTCAGAGAGGAGACCTTGAAATGGCTCATGGACCTATAACTGCAGCTATAGAATGTTGCTGTGCAGATGCCATATGTGTGCAAAAGAAAGAGGCTGTCTGCATCCAACAGTTTGTCCCGCATTGTCCCCCAGTTCCCTCGATTCATCCCCCAGCCTCCCCTCTGCTCCTCCTGGGACTCTTCACCCACCTCCCCAGGCCTGGGGGGCTGCAGCAGGGTCCCTCACTCCTCTTGGCTCCTTCCCAGCCTAGGTGTTGCAGTGGGAGGGGCAGAGGAGATGACCTGTGGCTCACAGGAGGGGAGGCAGGAGAAGGGGGCAGCACCACCCCAAGCTACAGGACTCTTTCTCTCCCTCCTCCCCCCACTCCTGTGCAAGCTCCTGGGGAGAGGGAGTAGAGCTCAGTCTGGCCTCTGCTATAGGTCTGATTGGCTGCTCTTCCCCAGGAGACAAGGCAGGGGGGCAGACAGCCAATCGGGGGGCTACCCCTCCTGCAGGGCTGAAGTCCAGGAGAGGGCTGAAGCTCCTCAGGAGGTGGGATGGGGTGGGTGAAATCCCCTGATGCAGGAAGAAGAAATCAGGAGAGTTGGTAAGAGAGTCAATCTGCTCCCTCAGTCTCTGCAGTACCAGACCTGGGGACGGGCAGAGGGGGATGAGGAGCCCTGGAGCTGCAACCCCCTCCCCCAAACTGCAAAGGGAAGAGGAGACTCTGCAGGGCCCAGAATCACCAAACTCTTTACATTTGGGAAAGTGGGCAACACTAACAGTCACACACACACTGGGGTGGGCAGGGGAAGGTCAGAAAATCAAACCAGATAAAAAAGAACAGTATCTTTTAAAACCCTCATGTTGGAGGTCTAATTAATGGTTTTTGAACTTCTGGAGTCCACGACCCTGGTATCTATTGACAGCCTTAAGTATTTAAAAATCATGAGTCAGGCCTAAAATACGATTGGCTTAAAGCTCATGAGATTTTTTTTTTAAATAATATGGGGTTTTTATTGGCTTTCCGGTTTTCAAGCTTTTCTCTATAAACATGAAGAACAGGAGTACTTGTGGCACCTTAGAGACTAACAAATTTATTAGAGCATAAGCTTTCATGGACTACAGCCCACTTCTTCGGATGCATATAGAAATTAAAAAAACTATATGCATCCGAAGAAGTGGGC